TATCATGGTGTTCAAATAGAGATTTATACGCTGCCATCCGCAGCTGACTAATTGGCCACTCTAAGGGCATCTGTTTGCTGCATGAAGTGTGCTCCTAGTTAAAGGCTCCTGCTTACGCAATCCTCCTAGGGTGGGGCTGTTCCGATTCCGTGGGAGGCCTTCCATGTCAGGTTATCTACTTCTAAGGGCCCACATAGCGCCATTTTTAACTGTCGGTAGGCTGCTACATTTAATAGGCTGGATCCGTTTTCGTCGTAAAACTGATTTTCCTCTCCTTTTAGCACTGTCCTACTGGCACTGACGGAAAACCACCCCGCTCCGCTACGAATCTTAAAGTAAGAGAGTCTCTATACGCCAACCTTTTTTTTCTCTTCTTCTTGCGCTATTTACTCGTGCTGAGTGCGTTCTAGGTGTCTGCCCTCATCAAAACCCCAATCGCCACCAACACTAATCTCTCTGTGTGTTTGATTACATTGCGCTTTTTTTCGTCCTCTGAGAAGAGACTGCAACCACCAAAGGTTATCTTCCCCAGCCGGAGTTACAGCTGGGTCCAGCTAGGCATTGAGCTCCTACGTGTCGCGTATGCTCGCACGTAGTAGTCCTTATCGCAAAATGCAACGGTCATTTTTCATTGTAAAAATAATTTTTCTGATCTAGTCATCGCGCCATATCTAGAGGTCTGGTTTTCGACAAGACTGCGTCCTGTCGCCTATTCTGTTTAATTATGCCATTGCCTCAATTCTCGGGAAAGCTCTACATGAAGATGATAGTGGTGAGCTTGCATCCAGACACTGGCTGACTGATATTGACTACGCCGATGATATCACCCTGCTAGCCTCTAGTTTTCCTGATCTACAGTCTGTAGTGCCATGGATGAATGCGATCGCTGTCAGTTGGCTCGTCTATAAATACCGGAAAGACATAATTATCCTCGAGCTGCATCACTAACAGGGAGAAAGCACCCCTTGGAATTAATTGTCGTCAACTTGAAAAATTAGACAATTTAAAATACCTCAGAGACAAACTGCTATCAAATGGACAGAGTAAGGACAACACTGTCTTCCGAATCGATATTGCTCGCCGGTTTTTCTGACTCTTCCGATAGCGTCTATGGATCCACTGCGACATCTCCATCGCCACGAAAATCCCTCCGGTCAGTCATCTATGTATGTGAATGCTGGGCTTTGCGCGTAGAAGATAAAGGAAGATTGGATGTATTTGACCATCGCTGCCTGAGGAACATCCGTCGAGTGAAGTATACCGAATTAATCTCGAATGAAACAGTCCCCACTCGCTGTGGTAGTATCACAAGCATATACCAGGCCATCCAAGTAATTCGACTGAGGTGGTTTTGGCACGCTCTCCGTCGTTCGCCTGACGAGCTGTGTTATGCCGCCCTTGGTCCGACGCCGTAGCCTACCTGGAGGCCTCTAAAAGGAGGGCAACTCAATATCTGGGTCGACGTCGTTCGTCAGGACATGGAAGCGGTCCTTGCACCCTCGATTATCTGTCCCCGTTGCCGTAGAAGAGAGTGGGTAGAAATTTCCAGATCTGCTGCCGACAATCGTCACGCGTGAAGGGATACCATCCGTGATGTCATTGAGATCCGCTACATCAGGCATGATCACAGCCGTATCAAGTACATATCTACATACACGTCTGGCGTTGGCGTCGATTAAACCTTGGAGGAACCAACAGGCTTCATCACCACGAAGAAGGAGACATGATCACCGTAACTGTATCAGATATGGTCAATAAAGCCATCATGTCTCCCTCCTTGCTACTGTTTCCTGGAACATTTAGCGAGTATGAACGGTCGATAATGGGATCCCACGCTATAAACACACCAAGGTAAGCCTAGAAAGATAGCCACGCTGTAAAGAAATCAATTGCCTACGCCGACCACAGTAGAACAAAGGCAGTAGTGGGCTGCAAATCAATTATTGATACTGTAGTTCACACTACTTGACGTTGTGTGCGTAACAGTTACTACGCAAACTTAAACAAATAGAGATAAAGTGCAGGCTCAGGAACTTCCTAGGAATGAAATCATGACAAAGTTATGGATAAGTAAAAGTACGGCTACCACAAACTCGCTTCACCGCCTCTATTGGCAGACTTCATCCTCATCTGCCCCTGCCCCCTCGTGGTTATTGAGTTGAGAATCTTGGAATGAATTTGTACAATTTATTGTATCTCTTTTGCTTCTTGTCTGCATTGCAGCGCTGTCATCGCCTCCCCGGTCAGTACAGTTTGCCAACAGGTGAAGGTCCTCGCAGACTTCCTCGTGGAGATCATTCGTCTTTGTGTGCAGAGCGAGGAGGCCGACATGGCAAAGCCAGCTCCGCCCTATACACCCTCAGCAGTAAGTTTACACTCCCGTGCCCTCCCCTTGCTGTTTCCTGTACTTGTAGTCGCCTCGTGCGTGCCTGACCTAGTAAGTCGTGGCAGATGCGTGGTCCAGCCGTAGAGAGGACATGAAAACAGCAACCGCCGCCATACGGGTGTTTTTGCGCTAAGTTCCAGGAAATATTTGGTTAGGGTTATGGCTACAGTTTGTGTTCACCTTCTAGGGTAATTTGTGATTAAGAGTAAAGTTTATATTAGGGGTTGGAATATTTACACTTCTTGTGTGTTAGTTCGACCACAGATTTCGATTATGTCCACCACATACCTCTCTTGTAGTCACTGGATGTAGCTACGATAGACAACGCACAGCCCCAGGGTACCGTCTTTCTGCATAATTAACTAAACGTTTACCATGCCTTTATCTCGCAAGGTAGTGTCATTTACCGTCTTCAGGCTAACTATAGAATTGCTACCATATCCAGCTATAGTCTGAAAGTTACAGAACGTCTCCTGTCTAACTAAGGGGAAAAATTGTTCTAGAATTAGCTTATCATAATAGCATAGTATTTCCTATACCGTGACAATATCTGAGTGGTTTGACATGCATCTTATATTTACAATAAGCATAATTGGTGGGAATATGCACTTACAAGCTTCCTTGTCCACCATGGAAGTCATTGGAAGAACATGCTGGTTATGCTGTGTTGGTTTTTCTCGCTGTACGGATGACGCAGACTGTCAGATACAGGCAGGTGCTCACGAGTGATATAGCTGTTGAAAGTCACTAGATAAAACTTTGTGTCGGTCGAGTGCCCAGATTGCTTTGTGAGCAACGAATAACTCCCGGTTTTGCACGCAACAGTTCGGTCAGCAATTTTGATTATGCCCGAGTTATGCTCCAAACAGGTTGTTGCAGTGACCTGAGCGCGAGTTAGGTTTTAAGTGATAGTCGACTTCCCGCAGCATCAACCGCACTCTCTCTCTCTCTTACCCCTCCTGTAATTATTTGCAGGGCCATCTTGAATAGGGCGTTCCTGTTTCCTGGTTTGTGGGCCTTATAAGTAATCCTTACTGACCCCTTTGCTGTCTACTGTGATCGACGGGATTTGTCTATGGGTTCAGGTGTTGTAATGGCAACTGGCATTGTGACCGTTAACACAGCACGAGCTGGCCTTGGAACTATCTTACACAAAGTGGTCACAGGAAATGGCCAAGAGGCAGTCAATAAAGTAGGAAAGTTAAACGCTGTGGGTAGCAAAACTGGGCAAAAACGTCTAAGGCAAAAGATGGGGGAGGGGAATGTGCAAACAGGGAGCCGGTGTTACCACGGCAGAGTTAGGTTCACTACATGCTCCAGTTGTTTACATAGGTTGGGTTTAAACCGCCGTATGTAGGCTGCCTCCAGGTAGCGTAAGGTGCGAGTT